TGTAAAAATAAACTTGTATAAATAAGTTCAATCAATTAAATGGATTTAAAGTATTTGCAGTTGGAGGAACAACGACCGGTTTATTAAATAATCTTTAGAATCAGATTGTATCTGAGGAAAATTTAAATTTAAAATACTGAGCAGACTGAGCTATTCAATGATGAATAGTCTGCTGCAAGATTCAATCAACAATGGTTTGAAATATAAAATATCAATTAGCGTTTTTTGGCTATAAACTTTGATAAGCTTACTAGCCAATACTAGTTTGTTTACACTGAGAAGTGTGTCATGACCTCCTATTTCAGGGCCGCTACTCTCTTTGTCACGACATATCATCAGGAAAATCATAGTCAAAATCCTTGTTACTATAATCAGGCAAACTTAGATATATTTTAGTCATATTTGTACACATTTTGAACATCATCTTGTAATTAAGGATACTCAAACACAACAAGGTAATACAAGTTTAAATTTCCATTTCTAAATACAACTACTATGTATAATGTATATCATTCAGTCAAAAGGTTGCTAGTTTGATCATGGAAAAAGTCATCTTTCAATCATTGTACTACAGAATGGAGTCAATTAAATTAAAATACAGCTTTGTAAAAAAATAATAGTGACTTTATACGACTCGAATGTTACTTGATGATTGAATATTGCTGTAGAATTTCTATTGAAATAATGCTGGTTTCTTGGTTAGTGCGTTAGTGCGTTAGTGTGTAACACTTCTGTCCTGAGAGTTTGGTGTTAAAATCCTGCTAATCACTGGTAGCAATATGCCATGTAATAATAACAATAGGTACTATCAAATTGTATAATTGTTCAAATTAGATCTCATGGTCCAATCTAGAAAAAAATGTATGAATCTCTAAAGTAAGGAGAAATTTCTCTGTGTTTGAGAACACCCTCCACTAAAGGCTTTAGAAAAAGGTTTTCTTCTGTTTTTAAATTTTAATTTTCTTATGTTACAGACAATGCGACTGACATTGTTGTTATCACTGGTTGTGGTGTTGTGTGGCGTCCAGCACAGCTTGGGTCAGCTGGTCAAGACGGGTCAATGTCCATCGGTCAGCGTAAAACAAGACTTTGATGTTAACAGGGTAAGTGAGTAGCTCATTACCTTAGACAATGCAATACTTTGAGAATGTTGACAATTTACCAAACACAGTTTTCACAATCTTTTCAATGTTTCAAGCTTCAAGCCGCTAACTATAGATCTTTCTGTTGGCTGCTTGATCATAGAACATTTATTGTTGAACTTTGATACATGGAGATAGTTTATTCTAGTGAAACCAATAGTTTCTTCATTCACCAACTTGTATTTCCTGCAGATAATGGATTTTGAAGCAGGTTGAAAAATAACTAACAACCCAAAATCCCTGTATACAGTATCAGGTTACAGTATCATAAGCTCAGCTGATACCGGTTATTACATTACAGTATCTGGGTACTTGGTACCAATATGCCACCTTCGGCACTCGGCTGTTCCAAGGTGAAGGTCGCTGTGTCACGGCTCGCTACACGCTAAACACCACTACTGGCGGCATTGATGTCTTCAACTCCCAGATACCAAAAGAGTAAGAGACCAATCAAACATTGTTACTGTACAAGGAAAACAAATCACCGTCAGGAAATCATTGTCTGATATTCTTGAGTCAAAAAGTTTCATAATGATCAAGCAAGTTCAAATGTGTCTTTCCAAACCCAAGCAACGTTATGAAATGAAAGTATTTGACTTTGGATACTGCAAGTTTATCATTACCAAATATGGTGGTTCAGCGGTCGTGTTTTGGGCTGAAAAGCCACTATCCAGACTGCTGATTGCTGGAGATCAGAGGGTCAGACTGCACCATAGCTTCACTGTGGTCACCATAAGCTTGCCAATGCTACTTATATTACAGTAATTCACTGGCCAGTAAGTTTATGGTGATGGGCAGCTGTGTTAAAAAAGAATACTTTTCATCCTGTTGTAAAAACTGAGTATTTCAAGTAATCATCCGCTGCTATAGTGAAAACTAAAAGGTAAATAGATCTTCAATACAGACAACAGATTTGCTATTTGCAAATTGTAGCATGCTTAAGATGACCATGCCCGTCCATGTTCTTTAGTTCTCTTTAAGTAAAATACATCTAGCTTGTTGTACAAGATGTAGATATTACCTATTTATACGTGCTTAGTTACGGTATCCAAAGTCAATGAAGTTAGACTTCCCCTAAATAGCTGAATCATTATCCACTGTTATGAGATAGAGAACAATCAGAGTACAGTCCACGAGAGTCTGCAGTTGAGGGAGGAGCCAATTTACCAGAAGACTTAAAAGGAGCCAATGAGGACTGTGCGTTGTTACCAAATCTAATATTACCAGCTGATTTGAAAGTATTGTTTATTAAATTTTAATTAGTGTCGAAAAGTAGTGAACGGGGTGCAGACTCGTGGCCCCTAGTGTAGTACCTAAATCAAAGTAGAGAAGTAAATGTTGCAACGTCACACTAATCCAGTCTTGGTATTGGCTGTCGCCAACTGCAGACTCTCATGGCCCCTAGTGTAGTACCTAAATCAAAGAGTTGCCGGTGCTCAACTTCAAGTAGCATGTTTAGGCCCCTACTTATAATTATAACTTGTAAGTACTATGGATAATATATAATGTAATATAAATGTTTCTTTTATCAGAGGAACCTTCCCATCAATGAGCAGTATCAAAGGTACAGCAGAGCTTGCAGATCCACATAATATAGAGGGCAAGTTAATAGTGACTTTCCCAGCTCCAGGTATGTTTAGGATGTTTTAAAAATGATCTTTATTATTATATGAGAAATGTCTTTAATTATTAACAGGTTAAAACTTAAATCAGTAGACTTATTATGAAAATAAATTATTCTAACTTAGTCATCCACATGCTGTTGTAAAATACTGTTTTGTTTCCTACTCCAACTATTCTTTCTTAGACAAAAAACTGAAAGTGCAACTTATTGTAAACAATTGTATCTTTTTTATCCCACCATCAACCAGCATAGAATGAAAAATATGAGATCGACAATATACCAGAAATGTCTACAGTAGCAAAAAATTAGAAAAAAGTAAAAAAACTGACTACAACTGCTCCATCTGCATTGGTTACTAAAGTAGTTACCAACACTAAGGTAGTTAACTAAAGTAGTACTTCAGTATATGGTAATGTTACCAATGTGATAAAATTGGTTTTGATTTGTCGCACCGTAGTGAGATACAGGTATAATGTTTCAGTTATCAGGTCTATAAGAGCTCCATATTGGGTGCTGGACACAGACTACGATTCCTTTGCGGTTGTGTATAGCTGTGTAGACGCCAGGTTAGCTCATGCACGTGAGTATATGAAAAAAAGTCACAATAATATAATTCTTACCAAGGACCCAAGGATAGGGTTCTGCAGGTTAAATATTGTTTAAGACCTATTAGAAAACTGTAATAGATAAAAACTTTGTTGTCTCAAATGTTGTACCAAAATCATCTTCCAACATAATAATGTGGTTTAAATAGTTTTCTCTCTTTTTTGTCACCACTTCTATCTATTTAACCATTATATAAATGCTGTTGCCAGGAGTGTACACTATGGTTGACTCATAAGAACAAAGTATACGTAACGTATAATCCTTAGTTGTATGCAAAATAAAACATTCAAGTCACATTGATCATAGCTTCTATTCTTCACGTACTGAGTGTAGCAACTTTTGTATTCATCTTTTGTAATTTGAGTCAATGTTTGAAAAAAATCTAAAAATCTAAAATCATTAGACAAGCTCTACAGTGACACCTACTTTATTGCTGGAAAAAATTACTACTATGTCAATGTTATCTAACAGACTGTTCATATTAGATAGTAACACAACACTGGGGTTTGGAACATTCCTTTATAAAAAAAGGAATACAATGCTAAAGGCACTGAACAAACAAAAAACAGATAAAGCCTCTTCTTAGGACTCTGAACCACTAAGTGATGGCATTATTAGTAGCCAAAAGATTGTGCAGTATTTGCTCCTGGGTATCCAAGACAGAAGAACCGTACCTACATGATTCAACCAGCCAAGCCCTATGAGGAGGTATGCTCTTATCGTAATATTCAAATTTCTTTTGTTTTTTATCAACAAGGATATGTTTTCTGTAGTTTCAGGATGGATCCTGACTAGAGTGCAGGACGTGGATCACTCTCCCCAGGACAAGGCGAGGTTGGAGGCTAAGGTAGCCGAGGTACTGACCGAGGCCAACCTACCGAGGTCCTTGTTCGTGATTACAGACCAAGGAAACTGTGACCGGTAGTGACCAGCAGAAATACTTCACCAACTTATCTCACTGTGCTCATTTTTATTTTGTTGAATAAAAAGGTATATTTTTACTGAATTATTTTCATTTGTCTTTGTTTACGATTTGTGATTTCATAATACTGCACACAAACTGTATTGTAGGATAATGTATCTTATTATTTAATTGGGTTGGAAAATTTTTACTGGTATCTTAAAGTTCATTTCTAGATGCAGTACCAGTAATAATTATAGAAGAAGCTCCCAGCATATTTTAAACACTATCGAGCTTAATTGTTGAAAATGTCTTATGTAATGTTTTACCATGTTTGGAAAGAGGAATACCCAAAATTACTAGACTAAATTATTGGGTTCAATCTCAACACTACCTACTTAAACCTTTTTTTCTAATTCCCATTTTATGTTTGATTCAAATAAGCTTACCCTCTTTGGAGTTGAATGAAAAATTATTGTTAAAATACTGATGTAAAATGCTATGAACCTAATCAGGTAGTTGGTTGGTGTATTGAATTTTGGTGCACTTTGGTGGAAAAGGGTATTTTTTTTATAATGACTAGCTGGCCCGACTGACGTCCTCCTGTCCTGAATGTGGTTTTATGTCAAATGCTCGTTCATTTTCAAATTGGGCTAGTTCGCATGGCTCAATCACGTGAATAATTAGTGACCTCTGGATAAACTAAAATTACTTTCAACCAAACACATTTTTATCAAGTACACATAACATTTATTTTCTTTCCTATCAACTTACATACAATAGCTAAAATTACAGGATATTGAGGAGTGCGTGGGTATGGCATGATGTAAGTGTTCAGGTTGCCTTTGGTAGAGGCGTTACACAGGCGCGTCTGGTACAAGCGGCGACTGTACCATCTAGATTGCACCTGCAGGTGTTACAATCCCTCATAAATGTCTTCCCAGGCTCGCAGGTGTTCTGAAATAAAACAAACACTCATGTACTAGAATACAACTTTCTGTCCAACCTATTTCATTGTAGTAAAAGTAGACATTGCAGTCCTATGTTCAAACCCTTTGCGGTCGAATGGCGAGTATAGGTCACCGCCCGCCATTTTCCCGACTGCTCAAAAATGGTGACTACAAAAAAAAAAAAAATCAAAAAATTAATAAAGTTTATTTTTGCAGTCGAATGGCGAGTATAGGTCACCAGGCGCCATTTTCCCGACTGCTCTAATGGCAAACTACACTCGGCGAAAAATTGGGAAAAATTCTTCCTCAAAGGGTTAAAGCTGTAGCTAGTTTTTTTTTATTAAAAATAATGTTAAATTTTTGCCACTGAGTGAGTGTGCTAATGTTGATTATTGAATGTCCTATACCCCAACTTTTTAACCGAGTCAAATTGAAGAGATTTCTTCATTGTAAACTACAGTATTCTATCTTTTATGCTAAATGAACTATGGTAATAAAACTAAGGGAGACAATACTTTTACTGAAATGGGGACCATACAGGGTAAGGTGTAACAAGAAAACCATGCCGTCTTGCAGCCGTTCACTACCACTGATCCAGAAGGTTGTGACGCCATGGCCACGTGTAAGTGGCGCATGTGGTTAAAGGTAAACTTTTACACTGCACGGTTATTTGCCGAGGGAGACATGCAAACATGATCAGCCGTTGCTCTGTTCATTGTTTACAATCTAGCTCTTCAATTTGACACTGTTTATGTTTATTGTGACTGTGTATGGTGTACATTAGTCTCACCATGGTCAGAACCCGTAAAACAGAGAAGAAACACGGCAAAAACCGTATAGGTCGCTCGGTCCCTTCTAAACAAGTAGACAAAACTTAAATATTAGGAACACTTCTTTGGAGACAGCCATGATATTTTAAATAAAAAGTTACAAAATGCCTATTAGTCCAGGCAAATTAGATCAAATATAGGGAGTGCTCCCCAAAAAATCGTCTAAAGCTGGAAAGTGTTTTAATACCTTTTGGGGGTCCCAAATAAGAGTCCTGTGAGTTTGCGACGGATTCTGATGTCTGCTTAAGTTTTGGGAGTCGAAAAACTATGAAAATCTTGCACTTTTTTCAGTTTTTCGCTTATACCTCCTAAATAACGAATCCTACGGAATATGTTGTTCGAAGGTCCCTTTTAGTACATTAAATTCTGCGTCGATTGGTGTTAAATACGTCAAAATCGGCCTTGCCGTTTAGCCGATGTAGCTTTTTAAAGTTAGGTCATTTTCATCAACATGGCCAAAAGTTGATTATTTGACCAGTTTTTGGCTTACAACTCCTAATTGACGTTTGCTATACAAAAATGCACGTGTAGTTAGTTTGGAAAAGACAAAATTCTGCGTGATATGTTTTTTTATCAATCAATAATGGTAATTGATTGCTACCTACTTTGTATGGTCGCCATTTCATTGAAAAAATTTAATATTAAATATTAATTTTAGTAAAATTTTCCAACTTTAACTTTAATATTTTTTCAATGAAATGGCGACAATACAAAGTAGGTAGCAATCAATTACCATTAATGATTGGTAAATAAACATATTACGCAGAATTTTGTCTTTTCCAAACTAACTACAGGTGCATTTTTGTATAGCAAGCGTCGATTAGGAGTTGTAAGCCGAAAACTGGTCAAATAATCATCTTTTGGCCATGTTGATGAAAATAACCTAACTTTAAAAAGCTACAGCGGCTAAACGGCTAGGCCGATTTTGACGTATTAAACACCAATCGACGCAAAATTTAATGTACTAAAAGAAACCTTCGCACAACATTTTCCGTAGGATTCGTTATTTAGGAGTTATAAGCGAAAATGTGAAAAAAGTGCAAGATTTTCATAGTTTTTCGACTCCCAAAACTTAAGCAGACGTCAGAATCCGTCTCAAACTTACAGGACTCTTATTTGGGACCCCCAAAAGGTATTAAAACACTTTCCAGCTTTAGACGATTTTTGGGAAGCATATGTCTAATTTGCCTGGGCTATATGTGTTAGGGCCTCCATCAAAGCATTTTTATATGCACGACTAAGACCCTCCGCACATTGGAGCGAGGCGAGGAGCAGGTGAGGTGCAGGGTAGGTGCAGGCGAGAGCGAGGTCTTTTTCGTGTCACCGCACATTGAAGCGAGGCGGGACAGAGGTTTACTAGCTTTGGTCCTACTATCGCGAGAAGTTGAAGATTCTTTGGACCTTTACTCATTCTGATTGTGAGTTTAATAATTTAGTTTGACTCTATTCGCTATCCGAAAAACGTAAAAAATGTTTTTGAAAACGTGATTACACGAAAAAAAAAATTAAGCCATGGAGAGTATGTTTTAACTACTGAACTGCCAGAGTAGTCTTTTAGAATATATTTTTGAGTGAACAAACAACAGTTTGATGATATCCATAACTTGATTAAAAGTGGCATTAGTGGGAAGGAATGCAAAGCTCAATAACTTAAAACCATCTGAATAAATGCTCCATTTATATATATATTTCACTTACAAACAACTAGAATCCCAACACAGGCGCGAGCGAGGTGCAGGAAAATGTATTCCAACTACAACGCCGCAGAGGCCTGACAGAGGCTGCAGCTGTGGAGGCTGCGCGCAGCCTCTGCTCAATGTGCGGTGCTCCATTTAAGTGTATTACAGAATCAGCCGCGCCTCGCCTGCACCTAGCCTCGCTCCAATGTGCGGCGGGCCTAAATCATGTCTTTTAATATTAGCTACTGATAATTTTATTTCATAAATATTAACCAACCATGTAAACATACATAATGATATTTAAACATTTTTTGTGGGCATTGTCAATCACAATTTAGTAAAAAAAAACATAGTTTTAATTACCACAACAAAACTTTGTATAGTGGCTTGTATTTTTCTAAGATTTATGGAATATGTGAATAAATCTACATGAAACCTCTAGTGTTTATCGATAAACAGTTTTAACTAGAAAACCTCTCTTAGAAATGGAACATTAAAATTATTTAGGTTAAATAGGGAATGTTACGCTATATGACTACTTTAAATACCCCCGCCGCAGCAAACCTGCAGACTAAGCGAATTTCCATTAACCTGATTGGATTTACACTAAAATGCCTTCATGAAAATAGCACATTTATTTCCTATTTAAATAGAATTAGTTTAACGAGTACTTAGGTTTGCTGCAACAGGGAGGGTAAAAAAGATTTTTTGTATAAAATGATAATAGTTTAGTAAGAAATAAAAGTATTTTCCAAAATCAATCAAAATATTTTCATAAACAAGCAAACTACAACAGTTGACTTATTCTCCATAAGAATAACATGGGAATTTTAAAATTACAATTTTTTTGAATTTTCTCCGTAACAATTAAGCGCATAATAACGCTTCAATATACTAAATTATTTGTTTTTTTAAGCTCTACAAAATGGTTTAAAAAGAAATTGTGAAATTTTTTGTTTTTAGGGTCAAAAATGGGAAAACCCTATTTTTACCCCATAAAACCCCCCATAAACCCCCGTTCCCATAGTCCGATCATGCTGGTTCGCGAACTCGTTCAAGTTTATCCCGCCTTACACCTTCAAACCAAATTTTATCAAAATCGGACAAAAATTACTCAAGTTATCGTGCGGATGGACACATATATATATATATATATATGTATATATATATATATATATATATATATATATATATATATATATATATATATAGATATATAAAAATTTGAACGAATGGTGTTTTTGGCCTCTGGGGACATCAAAATGAAAAAGTAAATCGGTCCCGGGCTTAGGTCTTACCATGAGACCTACGGTAATAGCTACTTCCCTATAGGGAAATTCGCTAAAAAGGCATGTGTTGACATTATTAGCTATACTGTACCCTAAATTAATTAGTTAAGCCTTAATTAATTAATTAAATGTAAAAATTATCTTCAAGATTGGCTACTTCTTTACCTGTTTGACTACTTTCAAATCATCAGCATTGCCTGTAACAGTAAAATAAATTAAGATGTTTCCTATTATTTTACCTTAAGTAAGTGGTAAGTGTAGCTATTTAAAAAATAAAGTATAGTCAGATCTAAATAATATGTTATCAATATTACTTTTCAGTGGGTTTATTTTATTTTCTTATAATAGAAGAAAATAAAATAAACCCACTGATAAAGTAATATATTTGACTTTAGAAGAATAACAAAAACAAACTAAGGAGGTCTCTAATGATAACCTTCAAAAGCAATGACCCTTTAATTTAAATGTAAATAAAGCAGTTCAGCATTCTTTATAATTTATTTTGATTACATAATAATTACAAAATACCCCCGCCGCAGCAAACCTGCAGACTAAGCGAATTTCAACTTGTCTGATTATATTTCTACTAAAATATTTCCATAAATAAGACATAGGTTATTTATTCCCTATTTAAATAACATTAGATTTAACGAGTGCTTAGGTTTGCTGCTACGGGGAGGGTAAAAAGTGTTTTTTGACCATAAGTCAATAGTATAGGATGAAATAAATAAATTTGCATAATGTTATCAATATATATCCATAAACAAGTAAAGTACAACAATTTTCATTTTCTCCATAAGAATAACATGGGAATTTTAAATTACACTATTTTTGAATTTTCTCCGTGACAGTTAGGCATACAACAGGGCTTCAAAATACTAAATTATTTCTTTTTTTAATCTCTACAAAACGGTTTAGAAAGAAATTGCAAATTTTTTTGTATTTAGGGTCAAAAATGGAAAAAACCCATTTTTACCCCATAAACCCCCCCATAAACCCCTGTTCCCATGGTCTGATTATGCTGGATCGCGAACTCGTTCGAATAAATGTAGGTTTACACGTTTGTACCAAATTTCATCAAAATCTGATCATTTTTGCTCGAGTTATCGCGCTAACGGACACATATATATATATATATATACAATTGTTTAGATAAAGGGCTACTATTATAAATAATGAAGAAAGCATATATTACTCGATGTAAAGAACATGTATACCAACATTCCTATTTTACCAACTATTAAGATTCTTAAAGAAACATTAACCCAAAGCAAAACCTTGTCAAAAAATGAAATAGAAGATATAGTAAAACTTACAAAAATTGCAACGAGTCAAAATTACTTCAAATTTGATTCATCATACTACATACAAAAAGAAGGACTTGCCATGGGATCTCCACTTTCAGGACTATTGGCAGACATTTATATGCATAATATGGAATCCAAGAAAATTATTAATGAAATTAATCCATTCTACAATAAAATAAAATATTGGTTCAGATATGTCGATGACATAATATGTCTATTTGAAGGTACGGAAGAAGAATCAAAAAGACGTTTAAACTATATCAACTCCTTATCAAACACGATACAATTCTCTCAAGAGATACAAGAGAACAAAATAAATTTCCTAGACGTGACGATTTCAAAGGAAAATAGATCTCATAACTTTGAAATTTATAGAAAACCAACTACAAGTGACTGTATAATACCAGCAGACTCAAATCACCCGTGGGAACAAAAGATGTCTACATTCCACGCATTAACAAATAGGTTGATCAATATCCCGATGAACAAAACTAATTTCATAAAAGAAAAGAATCTAATTAAATACTTGGCATTTAAAAATGGATACAACCCTAGAATGATAGAAAATATGATTAAGAAAAAACAAATGAAAAAGAAGAACAAAATTGTAACAGAAAAACAAAAGAATGATTTTATTTGTGTTCCATATAATAGTAAATTCAATAGGGCAATCAGGAAAACATTCAAAAATTCTAAATTAAATGTAAGTTACCGAACCAAAAACAACGCATTAGAAGTAATTAATAAAAGAGCCACAAAAGATAACAACCAAGTTGTAACATCAAAATATGAAAACTCCGGTATTTATAAAATTAAATGTTCAGATTGTGAAAAGTATTACATTGGACAGACAGGAAGGTCGTTCAATTGTAGATATAAAGAACATGTACAAGCCTTTAAATCAAAGAATGTGACTAGTATGAAAAGTAATGTAGCAGAACACATGCTTAATGAGAATCATAAATTCACTAAAATAGAAACAGATATGACAGTTTTAGACTATGGATCAAAAGGAAATAAATTAGATACAAAAGAAGAATATCATATATACTGCAGCTACAAGAATGATCCAACAAATATAATCAATACGATGCAAGTTAAGAAACAAAATCCTATATATGAAAAAATTTTAAAATTAAAGAATATTTAACACAAACATCAAGAGGAGGATAAATTAAACAACCATAATAAAATTTTATATATAAATATGACAAAATTCCATGACCAAAGATTATTTTACTATACATTTTAAGAAAAAAGAAAATCATATGTAAAGATCATCACATGATGTTTATTTGTTAATTAATTTGTTTGTGTTTGAAGTGAGGTTAAATGTTACTCTTGTAAATGGCCTAAAGGTCGAAACATGTAGAGTTTTAAAAATAAAAATAATTTCAGGGTACTGAGTTAATATGCTTTCTTCATTATAAATATATATATATATATATATATATATAAGAATTTGAACGGATGGTGTTTTTGGTCTCTAGGGACCTCAAAACGAAAAAAAAATCGGTCCCGCGTCCAGGTCTTACCATGAGTACTACGGTAATAGCTTATTCCCTATATGGGAAATTCGCTAATATTCCCTATATATGGGAAATTCGCTAAAACACAATTTTCTGCTATTTTCCGTAAAACTTGTTAAAATTTACTATACTAATAATAAACAAAAATGTGTCAAAGTGCAATAATGAAACAAACAAATTATTTGTTTTTTAAAGGTACGCAAAGGTAAATTATAGTTCCATAAGTCCAATGTTTAATTTTTAAATTCATAATTTAAACTGTTTGTATATGCATATACAATTCCTACACTGTCTTGTATCTGGATACAACTGTGGAGGAATTGTACAAGCAGCATTTTCAAACATTGATTAAAAAAAACTTAATAATGAAAAAGTGCTCCAAAGAAAAGTTAAATTGCATATCTATAGATTATCTATATGCATCATCATCTAAAGAGAAAGATAATGTTATAATGTCTTCAAACAAACCTACATACGGTGAATTACACGGAGGAATACAAAATTAATTAGTTACAAATACAAATAATATATAACAGAAAACAATTTGACAAGTGATACACAATTGAAAAGATTCAAATTATGAACTTCAAACCAAGTTCAGCATCTCTAAGAGGTAAGGTATTCTGATTGAATAATTCTTACCTTCATGTATACAGGAGATTGCCAAGAAGCAAAGCATCACTAAGATACAAGTGGTCTTCATTGTTTCTGACAGTATAATGTCAGAATCAACTGGATCCAAACAAGGTTATCTCTAGGTCAAAAGAGAGTGAAACTGGTTTGCACAGTAGCTAAGATTAATAATTAGTTACCTTATCAATGTAAACTCTATTGGTAGTGTAATAAATTAGAATCAGTTTATACATTTTGAAGGTACTGAAAAATTATATAAAATAAATATTTTTTTGATTGGGTAAAGCAATCTGACACATACTATCTCCCATAAGCTTGTCCTCAACCTTTCATGGGTAAGCAGTGGGAGTCACTATGATAATTTTGTAGGAAAAATAAAAAAGTTGCAATAACCTTTGAACCGTAATTGTTAAAGCAACAGGGGGTTGCACTATTTTGTTTATAATTATAAGGTCCATACCAAATTAGTTTTAATCAAAACAGGCTATTTTCCTAAAATCCAATTTTTGGGGTTTTTATGGGAAAATAACATAAGCTGCAATAACTTTGGAACCATATTTTTTACGAAAATGGGGTTTGAACAATTTTGTTTAGAATTTAAAGGACAATAACATAATATATTTTTATCAAAATAGTTCTGACCATTTTCGAGAGAATCAGATTTTTCAGTTATTTTATGGGAAAATCCCGATTACAAAAAAAAATTTTAAAAAAAACACGAGATACCATAAATTTAGTGCCTACTTCCAAAATTTAAAATTCCCATCTTATTCTTATGGAGAATATTGTAAAATGTTTTAGTTTGCTTATTTATGGAGTATTTTGATCAAACTTGGCAAATGTATTTATTTTATACTAAGCTACTAATATTTTACTAAAAAACACACTTATTAGCCTCCCTGTAGCAGCAAACCTAGGTACTCATTATACCTAATCTATATATTAATTTGAAACTGTTTTTCTTTGTCACAGCTATTTTGAGAGAACGGCTGGGCGGTGAAACTCGGTAGAGGTGTCTAAAGAAAGGTCCTGGTCTGTAGATGAGCCATCAAAAGAGAAACATGGAGAATTCCCTCGGGGCTCTGCCCCAGTGGCCTTTAAATTCCCATCCCATGTTATTCTTATGGAGGAAAAACGGGGTTTTGTCACAGCTAATTACAGAGAACGGCTGGGCGTAGAAACTCGGTAGGGGTCTCTAAAGAAAGGTCTTAGTCTGTAGATGAGCCATCAAAAGAGAAACGAGGTAAATTCCCTTGGGGATCTGCCCCAGAGGCCTTTGAAGTTCCCTCTTCAGATTTGTTTACATTACGACCATATGCATACATTTACACTACTTTTGAATGAAACAGCTGTTAATATTTAAATTGTGATTTACTAAATTTGTCAAAATGAACTATTTTTTATGGTTTTTTCTGATTTTGAAATCGATTTTCTTCTGAATCGTGCCATGTTTTGCAATATAATGTTCTATTAACAAATCAGTGGAAAATCCTAACATCACAGTAACTCTTAAAATTATTTCTTTTGGAGTTAACTTATATCTATTGTATTTGTATGGGTTGGTTTCTGCCTTTTTTTACCACTTCTTGGAGATTGTACGTAGGTGATATTCTTTGGCATATTGCATCTGTAGACGAAACTTGGGTTGGTGTAATTATTAGAGAATGGAAAAGAGCGAGAAATCCTGGACAATTTGATATATGCTAAAAATAAAACTGAATTAACACTGTGCTACATTTCTTGGGCAATCATTGAAATAACCGATTTGCAAACAATGGGAACATAGAAAAAGTCATAGAACACAACCAAGTAAAATAAATAGAAATAGGCTAATGTTTTTTTTTTTACACTAAAAACAATAAAAAAAACAAGATCAGCTCTTTGAAAAAAGATAAGATATTTACAAAAGATTTTGATTATATCTAACTGGTTGTGTAGATCATGAGTATTTCCATAATCTTTGAGTCGCATGTAATGCTTCGCAATTGCTCGAATTCGAGCAACAGGTACAATAGTGTTATATAAATAGATTTAATTTAAAATCAATTCGAAAAATTGAAATTAGCTTAATCTGCAGGTTTGCTGTGGCAGGGTTATTGGGATTGATCCAACAACCTTCAGATTTGAAGGCGAGTGTTAACCTATACATATTAATTCCAAAATCAATTACAACTGGACTCATGGCCAGTCGATCGAGTCGATTCTGCCTGTAAAAAGTGCTTTCTACGAAATAACACATAACAGTGTGACTCTTTAGCATCGTAGTTGTTTAATTACAAGCGTTAGAGCTTACATTATCTCCAATTGTAAATTGTTTTAACATATTCTGAAAAATGAATGCAATTTTAACGCTCACAACTTGTGGTAGGCTTTATTTGATTTATTCGGAAGTCTCGTTGTTTTACGGCAGTAATATAATAGTAGTTTTCGTTACTAGATCCTAAAGTAGGGGTTTTTTGGGAGGATATAGTGTTTAACTCGTTGAAGAATTTTAAAGGATCAGAACAGCTGATTTGTTTTTGAGATAAGCTTTGACATAACCATATGATTCGAGTCCGTAAAATTGCGTGTCCACAAAACGCTACGGTATCTCTTTAGGGACTCAAAACGATCCGTAAGACAGCTGTTTTTGGGACAGTGTGATGAAATAGTAGTTTACGCAACGATTGCGTTAAGTGAGTCTTTGCGACACGAGTAGAAAATTTAAGGCACGAGCCTTGGCGAGTGCCTTAAAAACTTCTACGAGTGTCGTAAAGACTATTAACGCGAGTTGCGTACACTACTTTACCTACGACCGTTTTTTTAATTACTATCAATCTGGATTTAATTACTAACAATCACTACTGATAACTTTTTAGAGAGGTTATGTTATTGCTAGCAGCATTCTTACCATAAATAATATTGTATCAGGTACAATTCGGCAAATATTTCATTTATTTTTGGACTTCCACCAACTTAATTAAGAATACGCGAGTATTAACATGAATAAGTCGGATCAACAATTAAATTGGTCAACTGATCAGCTGATCAGCTGATTAGTTGACGTTTGAAGCATTACAATTTTAATTCTTTTCTCTCAATACTTGAACCTCATTGGTCCGTTACCTGTGTGGATATGAGAAAACTATGCGGATATGAAATGAAACTATGCGGATATGAAAGTAAACAGCTGTAAAGTGAAACTTTTCAATTCTAAAGGCCCGTTTTGCCAGAAGCGTCTCGTGCGTCTGACGCTCAGCGTCTATCGCTCCGCGTCTATCGCTGCCCACTGCTTTGCATTGTTTTAGGTTAGTCTATTTTGCCAGAAGCGTCTATCGCTACAGCCGCCAGCGTCTGTAACTGAGACGCAAGCGTCTGTCGCGGACCACTGCTCCTGGAGCAGACGGAGACGCAGTCGCTAGCGATTATTACTGGAATAAGCACGTGTTTAGTTGTTGACTTAACTTTTGTTTCCTTAATATGAGTTGTGTTTTCAAGTTTAGTGACATGTCACAAACAAAGTGCGGATTCAATAGTGAAGAAGATGAAAAACCGATTAAAGCCATTTTAGCACACGACTGTTTAGTCAATTGTCAATTGATTTTCAATTAACAATTTAAAATATCCCTCTTCAGGCCTCTTTAAAAACATAGTACGCACTTCTTCCCTACGTTTGCACAACATTTCTAATATCTCATCATCGTCTAATTCCTCAGCTAACAAATACTTTACTACCTATTTGCTTTTTACAGGTTATTTTCAGAAACACTCCTTTTGTCACCAAAGTAAACCACTTACTGATCAAATAATCGCAAGGAAAAGACGCTTCTGGCAAAATAGGCCCGAGCGATAGACGCTGAGCGATTATCGCTCTAGCGATCATCGCTGAGCGTCGGACGCACCAGACGCTTCTGGCAAAACGGGCCTTAAGAACTGGACTGAAATGGCTACTTTAAAAAACGGTCGTAGGTAAAATGTGTTTATGACCTCTTTTACAATGCACATTCAAATGACCTTCAATATTTTTTAGTTGTGAAAATGATAGTTCAGCGTTGCTGTTTAGCTATATCAGTTATACATGTGACACTTGACGGACGTTAATTGGCGGACTGACAGGTTTATAACAATGACTGGTGACGACAGTTAACAAGGGATAACTTAATTGTTGGGTTTGTAACAAGCATGGAGGAGGATCGGTAAACAAGTTTTACCTACGACCGTTTTTTAAAGTAGCCGTTTCAGTTCGGTTCTTAGAATTAAAAATTTCTCATAACAGCATTGTTTACTTTCATAACAGCATAGTTTTACTCATAACAACACGGTTAACACACCATTGACGTTTGAAGATTGAGAGAGAAGAAGTAAAATTGTAATGTTTTGAACTTCAACTAATCAGCTGTCCAGGCCAATTTAATTGTTGAGTGGTGAAATTAGTGTTTGGTAGGCCTACAATGTTTCGTTGCATTGGTGGCAGTGAGAGGTTATAAACGTAAACATAACCTCTCTTAGAAGTTATTAGTAGAGTATTTTAGTAAATAAAACACTGTCGTAGGTAAAGTAGTGTACGCAACTTGCGTAGGCGATTGTTGCGTAAACTACTATCTTTTGACTTATCCAATAGTCAATACTACTATAGTGTTCCAACGATTGTCTTTACTGGAGCATCATTGTATTCTGCATGGTACAGTACGAAGAACACGTAGCAATTCATACTAAGAAGACGTATGAACGATATATATTAATTTAATATATTTTATAAGCCAAAGTTTCATACAAGAATTGACTAGATGAGCAAAAAAGGGTTTAACCTCTGAAATTTATCAGAAAGCTTTTCCTGTTCGATCCTAACTACCTGCCGTATCATCATAGAAAAAATAACTTTATTTTTTCTTGTCAATTAGTCTAATCGAATCAAAACACGTCTTCACTAATTTTGGCATGTGCCGACGCATCGTCTGTTTTGATCCAATCCAGTTGAATGCATTGATTTAAAGTATAAAATAGTTGTATGTGTAGGTTATAATTTTAACTGGGTGGTGTTCACAGAGGTGTCCATAAAACTGAGCGTAGTTATCAGGGAATTTTTATTTCGTCATTCACTCTCACCATCAAGCTTCATTATTTTATTAAAACAATATTTTTATGGAGACAATTATTATTTGAGTGATTAAAATACTGTAGTTACATATTTTCATGAATATAAACAAAAGATTTATAGCGCTGCACCCTTTTGGCAAACCTTCTAACTTCATAAATGCTATTGAACATCATAGAACCAACTTGTTAAATTGAAACGGATGTTAGATTCATTTTAAATATGAATGTTGGTCCGTCTTGAGTACGGGAATCGAGTAGTCCATTTAAAACGGTATATAGTTATATCAATATTTCTATTCCTAATTCAAGCATAGTTTAAGCAGTTCAAAATTTACTGTAAAGGAAAAGCTACCAAGATGAATTATTAAAACATGTAATCATTGTTATTTTCCCAACCTTTCCTAAAAAAGTCGAGTAGTATAGTAGTTTACGCAACGATTGCGTTAAGTGAGTCTTTACGACACGAGTAGAAAATTTAAGGCACGAGCCTTGGCGAGTGCCTTAAAAACTTCTACGAGATGGCAACACTGGCATGGCAACACTTAAAGATAATAATACTATGAGCAGCTGATTGACTATTATAACTACGATTTAACCTGTCATTTCGTGTTTATAGTTTCGGTATTTCTGAACTTTCTGGACTTTTCTTTTAAACGTTTTTAAAACATTCCTACGATCTTAATAAACAAGAAAATACCGTTAAAGCATTTTTTTAGGCACGGAAACTACTCCAAATTACAAAAACACACGGAACTATATTCTCAAAACGCGGAGCACATTTATTGCCGAGGAAAAATAGCGGAGTGATACGGAACGGGTACTACTTTCTCTAGGGCACCTAATTTGTGTTGCCAGCTGAACCTAAAAACGTATTGTATAGTGTTTGAAAGACTAATTATATACTTTATAGTGCCTGTAGGAAAAATATAATGTGTAACACGAGTGCAAAAGGCCTTTGCTGCACTCGAGATCATTCCGCACGAGCCGCTCTCGTGTGCAGCAAAGTGCCACTTTGCCGACTAGTTACACAAATAACTATTTCCAGCTGTTTCAACTACACAAGTTGGTTCTATGATATTAAATAGCTTAAAAAGTTATAAAGTTTACCAACAGGGTGCAGTAATATTAACTTTTTTGCATTTTGTGTCCTCTTCCCGTTGCAAAGCACGGGTACAACAGCTAGTCTATAAGTATAAAAGAGGATGTTTGTATATATAAATCTAATATATAAAATTCTCGTGTCACAGTGTTTGTCTGCAAACTCCTCCGGAACGACTTCACCGATCGTTATGAAATTTGGTGTGTAAATTCTGTAGGTATGCGAATCGGACGTAAACTATTTCCCGTTTAGAAATTCTTAAAAGGGCTCCGCCCCAGTGGCTCTGGAGTTTCCCATGTTAAACTTTATGAGAAATGGAATTAATGAATCTTAACAGCTGTTTCAATTAAACAAGTTGGTTCTGTTCTATGATGTTCAATAGCATTAAAGTTACAAGGATTACCAACAGGGTGCAGCACTATTATTTCTTTTACATTTATGACAACAGCTAATTTGCAACCAAAAGGTGAGTGAGCGTAGCGAACGAACTTCAACCTGGAGGCGAGTTAGCGTAGCAAACGAGCTAACCTGAAGGCAAGTGAGCGCAGCGAACGAGCTCCAACCTAAAGGTGAGTGAGCGTAGCGAACGAGCTCCAACCCAAAGGTGAGTGAGCGTAGCGAACGAACTTCAACCTGGAGGCGAGTTAGCGTAGCGAACGAGCTAACCTGAAGGCAAGTGAGCGCAGCGAACGAGCTCCAACCTAAAGGTGAGTGAGCGTAGCGAACGAGCTCCAACCCAAAGGTGAGTGAGCGTAGCGAACGAACTTCAACCAGGACGTGATTGAGCGATGCGAACGAGATCATCTTGAAAATTAAGAAGTTAAACGGGGCAATGGAATTAATGAATCTTAACAGCTGTTTCAATTAAACAAGTTGGTCATGTTCTATGATGTTCAATAGCATTAAAGTTGCAAGGATTACCAACAGGGCGCAGCACTATAATTTCTTTTACATTTATGACAACAGCTAATTTGCAACCAAAAGGTGAGTGAGCGCAGCGAACGAGCTCCAACCCAAAGGTGAGTGAGCGTAGCGAACGAGCTCCAACCTAAAGGTGAGTGAGCGTAGCGAACGAACTTCAACCAGGACGTGATTGAGCCATGCGAACGAGATCATCTTGAAAATTAAGAAGTTAAACGGGGCAAAGCCCGCGGGTTACAGTACAGCTAGTATTGTATAAAAATGTAAGACTTAATTTCTAAAAAACTGAAACCCTAAAGTAATGTTGCTTTTGCTTATGACCCGAAGGAAAAGAAGGCCTTTGCTAAGAGTAGAGACTGAGAGTGTAGGCCTACCCTATCAAGTAAGTCTTCTGTATCCAATAGTCAATGATTGTATTCTACCAAAAGCTAGAACAGAATGTTAGTGTCGGCTGCTAGACTTTTTAAAATGTAAAACTTAATTTCTAAAAAACTGAAACCCTAAACTAAAATTGTGGCTTAGACATTCCCTAGTTCTCAAAATTATCTTTCTTTCAACACAAAAATCATGAAAATCCGTCAAGTATTGATTCAGAATCGTGAAATAAAAAAAACCCTGTCTACTATCATATTTTTACGGAACCGGATGAAATTCCTAGAACTCTCCACTTTGACTGCTCCAGCTTCTCAAATGAATAAAAACATAGTTCAGTGAGATGAACGTTCCAACTATTCTTAAGGTTATTAATTTTCCGTTTCTTTTATAACAGAATACTGCGTTGACTATGTAATTCAACCACATGTTTTTGGTATACATTGTTTTAGTAAATCTAGTCTCAGTTTGTGATCATCAGGACTTGTGTCTCACTGGTTTCTTGTGATATACTTGTGAGTAATTTGGGGTTCTGATCCTTCTCTTGCTGTCTATTTGATAACAAACATGAGACATTAGTTCCATTAAGACCATAAACTGTTAGACTTTTAAATTTAAAAACAGTGTTTGGAGAGTTTTTTTTTAATTTTTTACCTAATCCTAACTGTGTTTTACACTGTCTAAATTTCTTCTTTTTTAGCGACACTATAAATACAGATTGCAGAAGTAGATTGGTCAGGAAGAACAAAAATTACAATTGTACTCAGTTTTATTTCATATTTGTTACAATGTTTCCATTGAGTGCTCCAAGAGCTAGGCACCTGTCTGCATCGGACCCATCTCGTCCGCTACACCCATCGGCATATCATCAGGCATGGTCATATCAGCCACAGCGAATGCTTGAGGTGGCATGGCAACCTGAAAAACAAAACAGATGGTTGAAGAATTGATACACTTTTGTCCGTTCACGAATACAACAAATTGTGCATAGAATGGACACGAATTCAACAACATTTGCCAACCGACGCTTATCACCTACAACTACAACATACAATCTACAACTACCTAAGTGAGCTCCGAGCCCTCAATGGAGAACTTTTTCAACGTCCAAACTAGCTTTAATACTTTTAATACTTTTTTAATACTCTTCATTGAAATGGTGACCATACAAAGTATTTTAAGCGAAGTATGAATGGAGATGAGTGTAGGATGAGTGGCGCGATCATGTAGTCTTGTTAGTGACAAAGGTCGTCACATTCTTTCTTTTGTCATATTCTTCCAGCTTAATAGTCAATACTGCTAATGACAAGGGGACATACAGTTTATGGTGGAATCCGGACCACATTTTTGTCTTGGTATTAACAATTTCGTCTAATTGTCAGGATAGTACTGCGGATAGTTGTCGTACTCTCTAGTGGGGACATTAATCCACACCAGGGAGTATCGCATCCACAGTGCATGCCTATAATACCCACAATTCGTGATTTCCTAGTAGCAAGATTACAGGACGACGCCACCGTCCCAGTTAGTTATACTATTAACTTGCTATTAACATGATTGTTCACACAAGGTTAAAGGTTGGGATCTTGCTTGGTTATACAAGTTCCACACAGGTGAATAAAGAGGAGGATAGGTAACTAATCATATTCTCCCAACAAATATTTCGATATGCACCTACAAATGCACCCGTAATCCTTTTTGTTTTCTTTATTAGCATTTTCTTTGTTGCCAGTAAAGGAGTTAGTTATACTTTATCTTATAACAGGAGAAAATTGTTACGTATATTTCTCGGTAAACTAAACAGCTCTCGTCATTTCCATATTTCCTGTTAGTTTCCTCTAAACGTAGAAAATGTTTTACACCGAAACTATTTCTTTGGTTTAACTTTGCTATTTCAACATGAATATACATTTCAGAAGTTAGAAGTTGGTTTTTTTACTTATTTTTATTTATTATTCTATTTACTTTTCTATACTAGCCGCCATACCAGTGCTTTGCAACGGCAAGAGAACGATATCTTTTGGGAAAGGATTTTTAGATAAGAATATGCCTATGTTAATTGGGAATGTGAGCTATCATCATGCCAAATTCCAGCCCAATTTGACCAGTAGTTAATGCGTGATTGAACTTCAAACAAACAATCACACAAACTTTCACGTGTATATTGTTAGTATGGTTATAGTAGTATGATGATACATTTTAGAGTATAAAAACATACTCACCTGTCTTACGACTCTAGAAGTAATGTTTTCTGAAAAAGTAAAAAAAAAATATTAAATAAGTAGTATATGAAATAACTACAGTAGCACTACTTAAAAATACATTCTAATCAACGAGAAAAAGGGGAGAGTCCAAAAATGTTTAAAGTTTTAATGTCATGTAAAGTATAAAGAATTTGATTTTTGGCCATGCTATTTACATGGGGATTGTCAAGTAGAAGATATTAATTATGTAAAATACCACATGGGAAAAGGAGTAAAATTCAAGCTTAACAAGGAAAGAAGGGGTAGGCAAAGATACACCTTATCTAACATATTATACTTTTTCATTCTCTGAACGAAAATTAGTATATCTTAAGGTAGAAAAAGTATGTCAATTGGATGGTACGACTCAATGTATTTGACTACACAAAGTTTAGATGTAATAGTATATTTCACTACTAGTCACGAAGTGGGACTTTCGTGATGAGTATTGAACGATACTTTTTATCACGATGAAAAAAAAACTGCTTCATCAAACTTAAAAAATTATCTGATGTTTCGTAACCTATTCATTTTTCTAATCTAAACACAATACGGTTGAAGAATTCATTTAAGTGTAAAATTCAGCTGGTTGTAATTTTGTTTATGTCAGGCAAAGTATCGTTTGTGTAGCGAAAGTAATGTTTATGTAGAGAAAGTAATGTTTATGACAGGAAAAGTCAGCTGATCACTATTTGTTTTTGTTGTATGGAAATTGACGATTTTTGAAGATCCCAGCTGTATGGAAATTGGCTATTTTCGAATACTGAGTGATGAAAAATAATTTTCCTACAGTCACCCGACAAAGTTGGCTTCCTTGTACTGTTTATAGTACAGAAAGCTGCTAATTGCTGCATATTTATACTTTGCCGTACGGTTTATACTTTGCCGTACGGTTTATACTTTGCCGCACATCAGGATTCCAACGAAACAACACAAAACAGCGTGGTTCTATTATGCACGTAATCCGTGTAAGCTTGGAAATAGGTTGGCAACACTTACAGATAATAATACTATGAGCAGCTGATTGACTATTATAACTACGATTTAACCTGTCATTTCGTGTTTATAGTTTCGGTATTTCTGAACTTTCTAGACTTTTCTTTTAAACGTTTTTAAAACGTTCCTACGATCTTATAAACAAGAAAATACCTTTAAAGCATTTTTTTAGGCGCGGAAACCACTTCAAATTACAAAAACATACGGAACTATATTCTCAAAACGTGGAGCACATTTCTTGCCGAGGAAAAATAGCGGAGTGATACGGACCACGGGTACTACTTTCTCTAGGGCACCATTTGTGTTGCCAGCTGAACCTAAAAACGTGTTGTATAGTGTTTGAAAGACTAATTATTTATATGCTTTATAGTGACTGTAGGAAAAATATAATGTGTAACACGAGTGAAAAAGGCCTTTGCTGCACTCGAGATCATTCCGCACTCGCCTGCGGCTCGTGCGTAAACATTGCTCTCGTGTGCAGCAAAGTGCCACTTTCACCACTAGTTACACAAATAACTATTTTTAATGGCTGATATATTTATTGGAATGGATTTATTTCAACGTAAACCATTAAATAAAAGATCGCCAGACAGGATTAACACAAAACAGTTTTTTAAACAGTATCAAACTATTTGTTTAGTAAAAATGCTGGTGTTCCTCAACTTATATTGTAATAAACGCTTTACCAGGTATAACCTTTGACTATTACAATAGTCAATGGTATAACATATTTCCAACAAACGCAGAACACGTACTGAAGCCAAGCTGTAACAAATTGAATCATCGTCGTGGTTTTATTTGAGATCTTTACAGACACAGTTTGAATGTTTAAAACCTATTTAATTTCTTTTAAGCTTTTAAGTGAAACTATAAGGCCTAAAGGTGTAGCCCGACCCGACAGGACATCACACAGGTAAAAGTCAATGGTTGGGTTTGAATCCAAGCCTTAACAGAACTTCCTCTTTTTAACCCTTAGACTAACAGAATCAGTTAACATGTCTACTTTAAACACAAAGCACAAATAAGACTGACCACATTTCACATTACTGAAAACAAGAAAGCCCACCCTTGAACGGCTGAATCGATTAGAGTGTGTTTAAATATTAAAGTGTTTTAAATGATTATGTTTGTCTGACCGGTCAAGCTGACAGTTTGTAATTACGTATTTACTTGTATATTGTCTTGTTAAAACCAGACTTGAAACACATTTCTTCTCCAAACATTATAAACGGTATCAGCAATCTGCCACCTACTGATTAGCTTGTCAACAGCCTTTATCACGAGTAAGTGATGGGAGAAACTATATTTTATGGGGGAAGTAACAAAAGTTGCAAAAGCTTTTTTTTATACAGAAATGGTGTTTGTAATATTTTATTTGGGAAAAACATATAAACTTTAATCAAAATTGATGAAGCAGTTTTTCGAAAAGCCTTTCTGTTATTTAATGGGGTTTTATTGGATAGTCACAAAAGTTGTAGTAACTGTTGTACCGCAGTTTTAACAGTAATGGGGCTGTGCCATTAAGAGTTAAAAGAACTATAAAATACTAAAACTTTAATCAAAATCCGAACCATTTTTGCCAAAATTTTATTTCTCCAATATTGTATAAGGTTTTTGGATACATTATCATTTGGAATAAAAATTTAAATACGAAAAACGCATGGAATAGTACAGCAGAAAGTACTGTTTGTTAACTCGATACTTACGTGCATTGGCCACTAGGACCACACAGAAGATGGACAGGGCGACGAGGACAGCTGTGTTCTTCATGGTGCTGAAGTGCGAAGTGTCGTCGAAGTGTTCCGAGACCTTTTATAACACTGACCGTGAATGATAACCAATATCACCTCCACACATGTCCTGCATACTTCCTACATGTTCTGTACACCTATCGCGAGATAAACCTCCAAGATAACACTGGGGAAACTTCCCTCATTTACAAGCGTAATAGTAAATGGTTACATAACCGTTAATTGTTATCTTAATTGTATTGGGAACTTAAAAAGTTAAAGTTATATGTAGGAAAACCTGACTCTAAAGTTTTAAAGTGGGTTTATCATTTTGTAGATTATTAGTGACTGTTTTCGTTATTGTATTTGTAATACAAAAGTTTCACGTTTTGAGATCGCTATCGTGTCATCTTAAGGTTAGAAGGAACTTGGAAAATAACAAAATTTGCCACATACCGGACAATGAACGAAACACAATAGCTTAAAACAAAGAGGGCGAATATAAAAAGATCGAGATTTAATGAAAAATAACCGAATTAAGATGATTTTTAGTTGTAAAATTAGGTGCAAAGACTTTATTCTACCTAATTCTACAACATAATATTGTAATATCTTGGTTAAATTTTACTACATATATTATCTTGGAGTCGTTTGATAGGTTTAAAAGCTAAATAAATAGTTAGTTGCGACATCTTTTCATAATATTTTGATAGTTTTATAATGTTAAAATGGCCTTCATTTAAAGATCCCTAATTGGACTAAGTTAATTTTATCCCTACTTAGTTCTCTTCTATTTTACTCAGAAGTGTTAGTCAGAAGTAACATAATTAAATTTAACAATTTTAATTAAAAACAACAAATTAGATTTTGTTGACTATTTTTTACACTAAGCTTATCATATTACCTATTAAATATATTAAAATCATTACAATAAAAAAATCATGCATTGATGGGTTAACATTCCAAGTTTCACAATGATCGGTTGAAAAACACAGAGATAAAAATGTTTATGTAAAAAATACAAAATGGCAGATATATGGTTAACGAATTGATTTTGGAAAACGTTTTATTCTTGACTAGCTGTAACCCGCGGGCTTTGCCCCGTTTAACTTCTTAATTCTCAAGATTATCTCGTTCGCATGGCTCAATCACGTCCTGGTTGAAGTTTGTTCGCCACGCTCACTCACCTTTAGGTTGGAGCTCGTTCGCTACGCTCACTCACCTTTAGGTTGGAGCTCGTTCACTACGCTCACTCACCTTTAGGTTGGAGCTCGTTCGCTGCGCTCACTTGCCTTCAGGTTAGCTCGTTCGCTACGCTAACTCGCTCCAGGTTGAAGTTCGTTCGCTACGCTCACTCACCTTTTGGTTGCAAATTAGCTGTTGTCATAAATGTAAAAGAAATAATAGTGCTGCACCCTGTTGGTAATCCTTGTAACTTTAATGCTATTGAACATCATAGAACAGAACCAACTTGTTTAATTGAAACAGCTGTTAAGATTCAATAATTCCATTTCTCATAAGGTTAACATGGGAAACTCCAGAGCCACTGGGGCGGAGCCCGAGAGTCCGATCAGAATAAAAACCACTTAGTTTTCCTATTTAATGCCTAAAGAATCAGTGTACCAAATTTCAGCCTTCTAGGTAAGTGGGAAGTGGGAGAATTAGTGATGAGTGAGTGAGTGAGTGAGTCAGTGAGGGCTTTGCCTTTTATATATATAGATTTTCTCTTCGTTTTGACCCATATGATTATTTCCCGGAGTTAAAATCTGTCTGAATTCAATGTGCGGTTGAAGGACAAATTTGTTTTCCCCTGTTTTCTCCCTGGCCCCTGCCACCACCACATATTAGCCTACAGCTGATTCATACTGTTCATAATTTTACAACATGTGTCACTTTGTTTACATTTTAGTAGTAAACAACATTGTGATTATTATGATGATATTTTGTGCAGTTTAATATTATTCAGTCTGGGTTTAATTGATTAGTGTTAATTAGAAATAGCCAAAACAGTGCAAAACTTAACTGGAGAAGGAAACAAATGCATTGCAGCACATAATATGGACTCCGAAGATTGTAATATAGAAAATATATCAAAAGATTATTGTAATGGATAATGCCAGCTACCATTCAAAACGACTTAACAAAATTCCAAGTTCAAAATGAAGAAAGGCAGGACATTATGAAGTGGCTATCAGATAACGGAATTGAACACAATCCAGTCCACACAGTAGCAGAACTCCTTACCACCGTGCGGCAGCACAGGCAAGATTTTCCCCCACAGTACGAACTGGATGAACTTGCGTTGCAGATGGGTTTAGAAATATGTTTTCTGTGGTTTGAGGTTGTTCGCCTACCCCCTACCATTGTCAATACAATCCCATAGAGCTAATTTGGGCTCAAGTGAAAGGGGAGGTAGCGCAAAATAACACGTCTTTTAAAATAAAGGATGTCAGGAACCTTCTTGAAAATGTCATGAACCATGTACGGTAACAGTAGAAGACTGGAAGCAATGCGTAATTCATGCTGAAAATATCCAGGAAGAAGATGTTTTTAAAGAAGGACTGCTTGACGAAATTATGGAACCATTCATTATAAATCTGCAGGATGACACTGACTCTGGTGGCTAAGCGAAGATGATGGTGAACATCTACTTTTTAGTTATGAGAGTGAATGATGTAATGGAACGTTTCCAGTACTTTGTTAACGTTCACATTAAATCTAACTTTTGTTAAATTTACATCATTGTGTTCATTTTGTGGTTTAATATATGTTTTATAAATAAAATTATATTTATGTATTTGTACGAGTTTTGTTTTCTATTTGGTGTGTACTCAGGCATATTGGGCTTTTACTATTAGGGATTTGAAATATTTATACAATTAGTAAACAATGGAAAAATGCAAAAAATTAAATATAGCTGTTTCATACAAATGTTTTAATTTTTGTGTATCTTTAAACATAACTCGTTCATTCAAATAGTATGATCAATTTGTTATGTTAGTTTATCCTCAGTAAAAGAAAATTGTAGCAAATAATGAATGGTATAATAAAACAAGTTTAATGAAATGACTCCGTTGTTCATCATGAGTAGGCCTACTCTGATGTTGTACACTGATTATTCAGACATAAAGAGGATGACCCAATGGTTTTCATCCTGATCTGACCTTAGGGCTCCGCTAGAGACCTTGACAAAGTTCCCATTGTCGACGGTATTAAAATAATAACTAAATAAGAAGTGAAGAATCGCTTTAGAATTGTGAAACCAGTTCACCACGATATTAACTAATTTAATAATGTATAGTTACATTACCTGAACTGAAATTGTATTTAAAACAATCCATCAAAATCATAAAGCATAAATGTTAGCCCAAGATTATCTATATTACAACAAAACTTCTAGTGAAATTAGAATTAATACGTAGATTATTTATGTTTAAATAAATCTTCTTGTTTTATTATGTGTGTAGTTCAATCATAATAAACAAATGCTTCCTAAAAACCTGTCTGCAATATAAAACAGATGATTGTTACGGGTATTTTAGTGTAGAAAAGGGTAAATGAGAGGGAGATTTACCATAATAGGGAAATCATATGTTGAATTCCAACCGCACAATTATTTTAGACAGACTTTATAGTCCTGGTTGAAACTGGAAATCCTATATTTTAAACAATTATGTGAGAAAGGACAGTATAACTCATAATTAGACAAATCAACGCTGTCCTTTCAACACGATCATAAGTACTAATATTGTCAGTTATAAGCTACTTTCTACTTGAAGATGGGATCAGATTCCAGATTCTTATTATAGATTGAAAATTTAATAAATATTTAGAAGTCTTTGTATGAATTTTAAAATTTCGCAACGTGTCGTAATGAGAAGTATGTTGATTGATGCCTTTTTAGAAAACTATTGCAGCAAACCGTCATATTAAAAAACCGTTACTCATGTAAAATTTACCGTCGTATAATTGAAAATTATATGTGAATACTGAATGATTACTGAATTTTTATATTCTCCAATAGAACATAAAACCACACTATCGTGTTCTATATTATTTATCTCTTGGTTTTCCCATTTTACCAACTCCACGATTCTGCGCAATGTACAGACAAACTGTAGATTCCAACGCCAGATGACAGAATAATAATTGCAGAGCTATGCAACATAGCAACACAGCAGACAGCATTGCAGCACACTATGTATGTATGTATATGTGTGGTATGTTGTTGGTAACGTAGCATTGCAGTTGAGCATAGGTAGCAAACAAGTTAAAACACTGATCTGGATAAGTGAGGAGCTATTTTACTGACTTCTATCGAATAGTAAGTTGACTTATCATACTATTGTAAATTTTGAAACATTTTTATGTGTGTTTAATTTTGGTGATCATTGATGTTGACTAAACGTTCCTATGTTGTTTTAGAGTAGATTTTAAAATTTTGGCTGTACTTTTTATGGCCTAATACCCTATGGCTGTTTACCATTTTCTAGAGAAATCCTCGGCAGGAGAAATATAGCTGAAATCGAGAAAACCAAGTAATAAAAAAATTTTTTAGGGTTAGGTGCAGCCCCAGCCTTGTCATTAAGTACATCATTGTACAATTACATAATTTGTAAAGGGTTAGTTGCAGCCCCAGCCTTGTCATTAAGTACATCATTGTACAATTACATAAGCTGAAAAGGGTTGTTGCAGCCCCAGCCTTGCCATTAAGTACATCATTGTACAATTACATAAGTTGTAAAGGGTTGTTGCTGTCCCAGCCTTGTCATTAAGTACATCATTGTACAATTACATAAGTTGTAAAGGGTTGTTGCTGTCCCAGCCTTGTCATTAAGTACATCATTGTACAATTACATAAGTTGTAAAGGGTTGTTGCTGTACCAGCCTTGTCATTAAGTACATCATTGTACAATTACATAAGTTGTAAAGGGTTGTTGCTGTCCCAGCCTTGTCATTAAGTACATCATTGTACAATTACATAAGTTGTAAAGGGTTGTTGCTGTACCAGCCTTGTCATTAAGTACATCATTGTACAATTACCGATACATAAGTTGTACCTCATGCATTATTTTCATTCCTCTAAGATCGTACATTTTCATTACCTACATTCTTTTGACATTATAATATTTTGGTATTGTTGCCAATTATGGTTAATCAGTCGGAGAGAATAAGTTTAAACAGGTGTGATCTGTCTCCAAACAAATGATGATTTGCGACCTTTGCGATCTAAACTAAAATGTATTTTCAATTACTGTATATTCATAAATAAATGAAAACTTCGAAGTAGCCTATATTTCTCAAAACTACGAAACGAGTTCCAATCAATGTATAAAAAACTGTGTTTATGATGTTTAGTAATCATAATTTTATAAAAAGAATTCGTTGGGGTTTTGTGTAAATTCAATTTTCCGTTCAGAAAAATTGTGATAAAGTGATAGTTTTATATTACATTGAGTGATATAAGCTAATAATAAATGTAGTAAATACTCGTATATGCAGTACAGCTGTAGTAAAAAGTGACGGAGGAGGAAGGTGGGGGCTGTAAGAAGCTGAGAGACAAACCGGTAGAAACCATAACATGTAATATTAAAACTAAGATAAACTTACAGAAAAAGTTGTTACACCTTGGGCTCATTCTTGTACTGTATAATAATATGAACAGTTGATTGTCAAATGTTTACATTTTATTAGTAAACTATTTGGATTTCACAAGTGACCTTCAAAATGTGGATTTTACTGTTTAATATTAAAAGGCCTTAAAGCAACGAACTTATAAACTCATTGATTTAAAGTGTCAAATTTTTCTTAAGTTATGGTTTCAAAGACAAGAAAAGTGGCGTTGTACATAAATGTTGCAGAAAAATATTTACTAGAGTTGGTTCAATAAAAAGTCATTTAAAAGCAAGACTAACAACCTTTAAACAGCCTTCAACGTCACAGGATGGCCCACAGTTGCGTTAAATAGTTAAAGATTCAGTTAAAAGAAAATTTCATTTCAAAAGTGATAGTCTCTTATTCCGGGAATGTACTGACCACACTTTTTACAAAATGCACAATAAAACCCCAACATATTAGTCGAAAAGTGTATCAAGTTAGAGGCTTATTCCCTCTAAGGAGGAAAACGTTTTACCTCAGTAGTTTCCTAGGTTCTTCAGACATAAAACACCCATTAAACATGATTAAGATTTTTTATGCGAAATCTACTCTCATCATACTTAATTATCAGCGAACATTTAATCATCATCAATATGAAGACATAAAAGATCGCGATGTAAGATGTTTTTCTTAGGTGTTTGAAACGCGGTTTACTCAGCTAATCAATGACACAGACTGACATCGCAAATGTTTGTTGTGTTTCTTGTCAGAATCACATTTCATTGGCCTTGGTGTTCGGAGCAGCAGTCCCAAAATGAAGGCATTTGTTGCAGCTGTAATTCTGATAGAGGTGAGAGTTCACATTTAGTATTATTGATGTATTTTCAACAAACATCACGTTGAAAGATCCACATATTGTATTGCGCAAGGAGTTGTATGCTACAAGTCCTGCAAATTGATGGTAAATTGTCTACGCATATATGATGGGTGTGATTTCCTACAAATAGCAGGAACTATGTAGAACGTATTTAGATGTTTTGTTAGTGACTAATACAATACAAGCTGTTTTTCTATCAAGGGCCACTAAGAATACCAATGATCAAGCAACCCATAAAAAACATGTTTCTCAGAATTCGGGGTCGGTGACCCTCTGATTCGGCGAGCGCTATAACCACACAGTTTACCTGGGCAAAGAGAGTCCTTGGAGGCTAGCGGCCATCTTGTATAATTTCAACAATAACAACTGCTGAAGAGTTATTTATCGTCCAAAATATTGTTTGTCATACTGCAGCAAAAAACAGCCGTTTGCATGCGTTGCGTTGAGTAAAAATCAGCTTTTGTAAACTGCTATCGATCGAAATTATTTATAGATTAATTTATTAGGTAAGGTTTTAGCCTATTGATGTCGATCGCTTGACATATCGATGGTATAATGTACTGTAACACAATCGTAATCACTGAGCTAAAATTATAACTGGAGGTAGCACTGCCATGGCAGAAGTCTGTCAAAAGCGTGTCGCTGATTTTGTTAGGTTGGTATAGCAGTGAGTTTTCTTATCCAATAACATGGCTTCTTATAACTAGGTTGGTATTATTTCTTTATTTCTTTATTCCAACAAATTACGGTATTTACAAAATATGTACACAAATTTTTAAAGGAAGAATAAAACATAAGTGAATTTAAAAGAATAAAATTAAATAAACCTTTACATTACATCTATGTTAAAAAAAAACGTACATGTTAATAGGGAATAAGCCGACATGGGCAGCGAGCCTGTGCGTCGACTGCAGTTGCTTCCAAACATACATTATTTATCAAATGCAATAAATAAATAAATGACAGGAGATATGATGAGGTGAAAAAATGATGTAATGGAGTTACAAGAAAAAAAATTAAAATTGTGAAATATAGTATAGCAGTGAGTTTTCTTATCCAATGACATGGCTTCTTATAACTCACACCTCACGCAAACATGGCGGCTGGCGACACGCATCTTGGACATTCGGTGCTACCTCCAGTTAGAATTATAGCTCAGTGATCGTAATAGACTAAATTATTGAATTAGTTACTAAACAGCTGCTTATTTGAAAACAAGCTGGAAGTCGTTTTGAGAGGTTATATTTACATACAAAATATTTCGTTTTCTAGCTTTGTATTTGTTAATTATTAATGATGCAATAGTTCACCAATATATGCAATACAGTTCACCACACGGGCAAAAAGTGAGTTTTTAACCCTCGCTCATTTTCCGACTTGACCTCGGGTCAAAAAGAGTCACTATAGGCACTAATGATTAAATATACTATTTCCAATCACCAAAGTGATTATAATTTAAATATAGGGTGTCCCACGAAGGGGTTTAAACGTTTGATTTTATATTACGCGCCCATTCATGCACCGAACTTTTTGAAACTTTACACAGTTTACAAGGTAGGTTTTAAAAATATTCTGGAAAAATTTCAACTCCCTAACCTTAGAAGAAACAAAATGGCGGCATATTGAAAAAGTTACTTTAAAACATTAAAAAAGGTATTTTTGGTTTTATAAAATATTTTTATTGTTACTTTCCAGGGCAATATGACTTTTAAAAAAGAAAAAATTAGAACATAGCCAAATGGAAAACTAAAAATTAATCAAATAACTAATAAATAATAATAATAAATAAATAACTAATAATAAATCATGAAAGTAGTTTTTATAGAAAGCACATTGGTAAATTTGTCAATAAGCCGCCATTTTGTTTCTACTAAGGTTAGGGAGTTGAAATTTTTCCAGAATATTTTTAGAACCTACTTTGTAAACTGTGTAAAGTTTAAAAAGGTTTGGTGCATGAATGGGCACGTAATATAAAATCAAACGTTTAAACCCCTTCGTGGGACACCCGGTATTTAGTATACTGTGAGATTAGAAATGATATTTATAGTTTTGAATTGTTCTCTAAGGGAGTCCATGGTAGCTAACGGCCATCTTGGATTTGACCATCATAATGTTAATTACGTCGATTTCAAACAGCCGCTGAAGAGTTATTTACCATCTCAAAATATTTTTTTCAAACATCAGAGGGATTTTAATTTAAATATCTATTATACTGTGGGATTATAAATTTTCTTTTTAAGTTTTTTTAATTGTTTTACTAGTTAGAATGTCTAGGCTCCAAGGACTCTTTCTACGGAATCTTTGCTAGTCTTGCTGCTGGAGGTCATGCTCCAGGCTCCAGACGTGGTCAGGGGTGTTCAAATCTTACATCAGCACCGAGTAATTTATTTGTTCTACTTTATCCATTACCCATATCCTCCCTCACTATTATGTTGGTCCCTGTGTGCCTATAGGGCCGAACACATGCTGTAATATTATTGGGGAAGTAAATCACGCAGGGCTTGGCCACAATTGGAGGTTGCAGGATACCTTAATTTACTGGACAATTCGTACCACTAACCTAATAATGTATTGTTTGTAGTTAATAATAGCAAATGAGTGGTAAGGTAAATAATTGAAATTTTCTGGTTTTGGTCGTAGTTAAATTCATAATCACTTAACAAGGCAAAATTTAATAAGGATAGTATCGTACAATTAAATATTCAATGCGATTGTTTTAAATCTTTTGTCTTTTACACAATATAGCTAGGTATAGTGTTTTACCTAACCCGCCATGTTAAACTTCCCTATCCCAAGCGTGATGTATACAACTTCTTTACTTCTCGAGTGATGTAAAGTTGAAAAAAAAACTCACTCGGTGAGGTAATGAAACCCATTTAAATAACATTGAGTGCTCAACTTAATAGTTATTTTGTGCAACTAGTGAGCAAAGTGAGCAATTGACTCACTCGAGAGAAACACTAACTCACGAGCCGTAGGCGAGTGAGGAATTGTTTCTCGAGTGAGACAATTGCACTTTGCACTCGAGTTGCACATTATATTTTTCCTACAGTTACCATAAAATAAATAAATCGGTAAAGAAATGTAACATATTTTTGCACAGAAGTGAACTTTTAATATGACATTTAATGGTATAACAGTACAACAGCTGACCAGCTGATTTACAGCCAGTGCTGCCAACGTATTTCGCGCGCATGCGACCTTGTCTGCATGTTACGCGCTCACTATTTCGTGCCTTCACGTTGCAAATCTGGAGTGAGACAAAGTAATTAGAGTGAGACAATGTTAACATTGTCTCACTGATGAGCGAATTGGCCACTTTGCTTTCTCAAATCAGTGAGAGAATATGTACATTGTTAGGTAACTGTAGGAAAAAAATATACCTCTATGGAGCCAACGACGTTCAACGCTAGAAATCAGCTGTGCGCTTGAATTTTATTGTTATGTTTTGAAGAATTTTCCTAACCTAGCTTTTGTTTGTAAATGAACGTTACTGTTAGAAGATGAGTGAAATGGATAATGAAAAATATTGTTCGTAACCTCCTGTATATTGTCGGGTCAGGTTAACTTTTTTATAGTACCTACCACGATTTTTCTAGTATTCGTGTACCTACGTCTATTTTGTGTGTATCTCTACAGCTGATTCATAGGATACCAAATTAGCTTAAAGTTTCTTAAGTAAAAACTGTCGCAGGGCTGATTAAAGCAATTTTGTAAGGGTAAACTAATTTTTGGCAATACTCATATGCAATTTTCAAACTTTTTACAGATCATAACAGTTTGTGCAGCAGAGGAATATAATAGTAAGTACAGTTAGTTACCAGCTAATATCCACTAGGCCCCTATACATATACGATTGTAAGCTAGGTATTTCCATGTATAGAAACTGTAAAACATACTCCCTCAGTTGGTTAGTCTAGTTATTACAAGACTTGTAACGCATTTATATTACATTATTTTTAATACGTTAAATTATATTCTAAAATAAACATTAGACTATTGTAATGTTTGCTTAGTCTACTGTATTTTTGTATTTTTCTACACATATTCCAAGCATTCAAAGCGTATTTTCTAATAATCACAATCTAGTCCGTGTTGTTTTCCTTTATCAGTCATTAGTTTCGCCCTCTCCTAAGCAATTTTGGACAAGTGTGATGCAAAACATTACTTTTGATAACGATTTAGATCAGTCTACTTGTACGGAGAGGAATGTAACAAGTTGTTTTCACATTTTTTTAATTATTCGCTCTGTAGCGGGGCTGCTGGTTTAAAAGAAGAGACAGTGGTTTTGCTAACACACACACCGGGAGGTTTATATTTAGTCGTCTCAGTGCAATAGACCCTTGACAGTTGAGGAGTGATCGTGTTGTAATTACGTATAATTTTCCTGATACCTCGCTCAATTATTCAAATAAATACAAAAAATCAAGTAACGCAAATTATTATCGTTGGAAAATTTTACGTTTGCAACACACGTTTCTGGCGTTTACTACAGAAACTTTGTTATCCCAAAAAATTTCAAAAACACATGTTTACAAACCACATTTTGTTTAGTCAATGATAGTACACTGGAGTTTACGGACTAACTAATTTTTAATCTTTCGTTGCAAGCCCCCGGGTTTTCCCCTATGTTATTTGGTGACGGTCAAATATTCCTTGGGCAAATTCACTCCACACAGCAGGGATTACGTTGAAGAAGAAACTGCCAGATAAATGTAAAATACAAACACACACACACACACTTTGTACTTCAGTTCTGCAGTTGATGCTAAAGCAGTACTGTGCTTACTATTCTATATCCATAGTACGGTCCACGAGAGTCTGCAGTTGATGGAGGAGCCTATTTGCCACGTGACTTTGAAGGAGCCAATGAGGACAGTGCGGTGTTGCCAAATCTAATAATACCAGCTGATTTGAAAATATTGTGTAGTATATTTTGATTAGTGTCGAAGAGTATGTTGCAAGGTCGCGCTAGCCCAGTCTTGCTATTGGCTACCGCCAACTGCAGACTCTCGTGGCCATTAGTATAGACACTTCAACTAGACTTATTCCCTACCTTCTTGGTAAAGCTGCAGTTTCACTTTTGTTTCAGTTCTCAAAGGAGCTCTCCAGACATCACGAACGCAAGGTGCGACGTGGTTATTCAACATTCCTCAAATTGACGTGTGCAATACTCACAAATATATCAAATTCGTTGCGAAATTCACCTCCAAAATTGGCAGCAATGAAATAAGACTGCGAGTAGAGGCACATGCAGCCTACCCTAGTCTGAAAAATTCCTTTCCTGCATTATTCAAATTACACCGTTATTCCCACATTGCCACGTACGAGGTAGAAAACAAGTTCTTTACCGCCAAAACCGCCGAAGAGAAAAAGCAAGTACAGCAAGAAGTTAGAGACAATTTATGCAAGTATATTAAAGTGTCTGACTCCAAGCTGAACAATCAAGCTTTATATTTTATTGAATTCAATTATGCTAAAAGATTGTGGTGTGACGCGTATTCAAGCATCGATTTGCGACCTCTGGAATTTGACGCATGCGACGAGTTGAAACCGGATTATGAAGCAGCAAATGCGTATACAGGTATTTTTAGAGTACTCTTATCATAGTGTAAATTTTTTAGCCATTGGGTTTGCCATGGTTTACCATTGGGTTCGCCATGGTTCGCCACTGAGTTTGCCATGGTTTGCCAATGGGTTTGCCATGGTTTGCTATTTGATTTGCCATGGTTTGACATTGGGTTTGCTATGGTTTGCCATTGGGTTTGCCATGGTTTGCCAAATGTTGGGTTCGTTCACAATGAAGATCAAGGTCGTAAGAAGTTGCGTTGATCTTTCGGTGCCGATATAGAGATTGATCAATGGCAATATACATTCAAAATTGTGTATGTTGCTCAGTAGGAGTAATTTGCAGAACGTAGCTTTTCATGTAAACAATGTCCGAGTTGGGGTAAACTTTGATCAAGTAGTCAGTATACAATAGGCAGTTCTTCATTCTTTATTCCGTTAAACAATATTACATTTAGGAAAGGTCAACACAATTTCAACACAATTAAACTATATACAGTCATCGTTTGAGACAAAACAAAAGTTTTACAGTCAAAATATTCTTTGGTGTAGTAAAATGCGTTAGTTTTGAGGAGCACAGAGATGGCTGAGTTAATTTTGACAAATTGTAAATTTAATGTGGCAGTTCTTCTTGTTTACATTGAAATGTCAAAGAAATTGTAAATATTGTAAATGTTCTCATTGCAGACATGGAGATCAATCAATAGTTAATTATAAAATCCTAATATCAGAACTTTTAAAGACAAAGGGACAAAACCCCTTTGCCCCACGGTCAGTATCGAAGTGTGAACAATCCTACTACCATCCTTTGTTATGGTAACTATATTTTTTGTAAAATTTAAGCTATCAGTTCAGTAGTTTTTACATTAAGTAGTAACAGACATACAGACATATAACTACCATTAGATATTTATACAATGGTATGGATTCTTCTTATATGTAATATATTTGAAAGGATAGTGTTTTTAGGTCCCCCAGCTTAACCTAGAATCTAATGTGAACTCTAGTTGTTTTACATCAGTACATCACTACTTACATGTTCTGGAACATCATTGAGAGAGTAATAGATCAATTCAGTCTTTTCTTCATTGATATTTAAGTTATTTGGCTTTGAACCAAGATTTGGCACAAGTAAGAGCCTGAGACATGTTCGGTTTCACATTGAATTATACGTGTATACGATTGAAGTACAGTATATAAGTGTTACAGTTACAGAATGTTACAACCAGTAGGCCTATATATGCGATCGTTTCTGCAAGGGCACTCAGCTAAGTTTAGCATTCATTCTCTAAGTAAGTACAACGTCTAGTGAGATGATAAACAGTTAAGTGCCATTTATTCACATTGTGTTGTTTTCCTTACACACAATGACACAAATTCTGATTCGGGTTTTATGTTTATCTCGTGTAGCTCAAAGTTGTAGGGAATATTGTAGTTGCAAATACCTTCTCGTTAAGTAACACCCTTTTCATTTTTCAGTTGAAGTACCAAAGATTCAAGAACTAATAAGAGATGGAGCTCATTGCACATTAACGACACACACTCCTGATAAGGCCGTCTTTCAAATTACTTCTCAGAACTGTCCTGTGACCGAGACTCATCCTGAGAGACTACGGTTGATTACTTATCACGGTGGTCTTTCACTCGGACACTATAGCTTGTTTCGTAACGACAACACAAACATTGACAGCACAACAGTGGATAAGAAAAAACTATTCCGACTTTTCAGAATGTATTCTTACAAAAACAATTTTGGAGCTGAATCGTATGTCAACGTTCAGTATCTACAACAAGGGTATTGGAAATGTCAGACATTTCAAAGAAAAGTGGGTTATGGTACGGTATATTATTCGACGGATGACTATCCGAGGCCGTGCAAACGAATGCAGCAAGAGCAACTCCCGTATGCCAGAGGCGACTACTTGAAGCTTGTTTACATGGAAAAGCATTAATATATTGTAAATATAACGTAAAGTTAAGAGTATTTTGATGTGTACTTCTCCTGCACGTTTATAAGCTTGTTCGTCAAGTGTTTGAAATTCAACACTATCGACTTACTTTGCTTTGTTTAATCTGCAATAAAGTTACTATGCGTTATAATTTTATAAAAACGTTGTCATTTCACGTGTTCAAAAGTTTAATTAGGTTGCATGCACAACACTGACTTTGCCATATCAATTAATCATTCCAATTGATACCTGTTGCATCAGTAAATTTATAATCACCTCTGCAAACTGTTGGTAAACCTTGTAACTTGTTAATGCTATTGAACATCATAGAACCCAACTTGTTGGTTTATTTGAAACAGCGCTGTCAATAATATTCTTCTATTCTTATATTCTTTTTTTATAATCTAAAACAGAGTGTTTACAAATAGTCTGGACATATTTTGTGAACTTGTTTCTAGGGCTAAAATGTTTGAAATAATCTAAAACCGCTTACAAATAACTTGCAAAGCGGACGGAGACTGTTGCATTGTTGTGGCAGACTTTGCTGCAACTACCTCCAGCGATCACGTACAGCTGCCATATACTATCAGATAATATTCGTCCAATATTAAAAAATGCGGTGTAAATCGATTTGCAATTGAATTGCCTTTAAAAAGTTAATCTTGTAAAACTTTGTTAAAATCGACGGGTTTGAGTTTGGCCCTATTTAAGAAACAAAATTGTAAATAGCCGCCATTTTGTTAGTTTTGTCTGGTTGTCATAAATGTTTGTGCAAAGTTTCAATTTTGTATGTTTATCTACTTTTTAGAAAAGAGTAATAAGTGAAAAAAACAAAATGGTGGCTGTGTGAGTAGCTAAGGACTTCCGGACAATTTAAATATGATATTTAGATATGTTTCTTACACAGGAACAATGCCCTAAAATATTGGTAAAGAGTTCCGGGACACCCTGCATAGCACTATATAAACACTATATATCATTCACTTTGGATGCTGCATGTAGACTTCTCATGCTAAAAATGGAGGCGTCAGACGTGTTGTATGTTCGACAAGCCTAGAGGACGCCTCTACTGATAATACCAGAGAACAATCAAAATTTTAAATCTTCTATATAAATAAAATTTGAGTTTTGTCTGTACATTGCTCAGAATCACAAATTTGTAGGTTATTTTTACGTTTTATACATTAAAGAAGCCGAAACAAGTCTCATCTAAATTTCTGTCTGTCTGTCTGTCTGTAACACTCAAGATGGCATTTTACACAATCTTCTCCAGGAAAACGAGAGTACCTATCAAGATCCAAGTCATTTTAATGTATTCACTGGATTGGCGAGAGTGTCTTTACCATTAAAATATGGCCTCACTACTTAGTAAATAAAATTACGGACGTTCAAAAATGCAGTTTTGTGCGATTTTTATTAGATAATTTCGTCCAATTTTTATCACATAATGATCTATGAAATAACGAACAGCTGTTCGGATCAAGATTATTTTTTCTAGCTGTCACTGATATGTTTACAAATGTTGTTTACAAATACCGCAACCATTTCCGATCACGTTTTGAAGTTAAATCCCATCCAAGTGACATTAAAAACGTTGTCTTTCATAACGGATTTAATTAATCGCAAGCGGAATAATATAGTGTAACCGTAAATGAAATAATTAATAACTAGGCATTATCCAGGTCAGGAACCAGAGATTCTTTGTGTGTAAAATTGTTCTTGAGTTTTGATAACCAGAAAGAAGATCTTGAATCAGTGTTGTATAGGGCTGGGAAACTTGAATTTATTAATGATCGTCGCCAATAGCCTACTAACAAGGATTCCACTCATTGACGGCGCTTCAATGGTGGTTGTGTTAAGTGTAAAGTAAAAAATCACAACTGCAGTGGGTGATTGTAACAGAGGTTTATGGTTTATAGATTATACTAAACTTGCTTTTCCGATGTGTCACTTTCTGTTCCTACTCACCGTATGATGCAATCGCCGGACCATACAGCCAATAGGCCCATAGCCCATCTCTTGGGTACTTACGCCTACCCATTAAAGTATTATATTGTCTGTGATCAAAGGAGTGAGCCAGCCCTGGTATATCTGTAGCCCTGGGCCTATTCTCTAAACAATGATTCGTATATCCAATTACTCATAACAACCTTTTCGACGACGATCCTTGATACCGGTAATTTTCCCTAGAATACACGGCCTCCCTACTTAAGAAATAAAATTACAAACGTCCAAAAACCCAGTGTTGTGTCATTTTTGTCACATTTCATTCTAATGTTAAAAGATATACGAATCATTGTTTAGAGAATAGGCCCAGGGCTACAGATATACCAGGGCTGGCTCACTCCTTTGATCACAGACAATATAATACTTTAATGGTTTATTCCATTGTCTGTGCTTTGATGTTAGCGGTCGCCGCCTGATCCTACTTCCCCTCCCCCTCCCCCCGCCACTCCTCAGTGACGTAGCGGAGATACATCGGCGTGAGGCGCGACGGTAGCCTAGCACGGCAGCACGGCATATTACTAATTAATTAATTGTGTTTATAATAATGTAGTTTTATGGTGTGATTTTTAAAGCGGGTTTCGTTAACCCTCCAACTTGCAATGGGCGAACTCTGTAGTGGCAAGGCATTTTTGGCGATTTTGCAGTCATATTTTCGAAAATTCATATAAACTAATCCAACAGATCAAACCTATGAACCGTATTTATTATTTCCAACTTGAAGTGTTCGTAATGAAATGAAGAATTTGAAAATGGCAACAAAATAAATATTAAAAATATTGTAGAAAATATTGTCAGTAGGTAGAAAAATTTCTGCATGAACCAAAAATGCTTCATAAGATATACAAATTGTTTGGAATTTATTTCCCTAGATGGAAATGTAAAGAAGATTCCAATTACCATTTATACAAAGTGTTGGCCCAAAAATAATAGAATGACAATTTTCACGATTTTGCAAAACAAATTTCAAATAAAACAGAATAAATGTATTATCAAGAGATAAAGTAAACGTAAACATTTTTAGGCAATAATATTGGAGATCAAATGAAGTAAGAATTGTTTATGTATACTGATCATTTCAATAGATGTTTATGACTTTTAATAAATGTTTATATTTGTCTAGAAAAACATTTTGTTATTCACACGTATATATTATTTTTTAAATCCCACAAACCAACTATATAAAATGAAAGTAAACTTATTCCCCTACATGAATATACATAGTTATAAAGGCAAATATCCAAAAATAAATATTTTAGTTTTTTCTATAAAATGCTGTTGTGCCTTTTTCATTCGGTGATTAAATCGTTTGTTAATTATGACGAAATGTTTCAAAAACGGGCTAAATGTAATGTCCCAGACCTCAAATTAAGTAAGTATATCAACATAAAACAGTTTATAAACTAAATAAGTACAATTTTTACAACTAATAAATACGATTAAAGTGATAAAGTCAAACCTGCTATATTCGTTGTTGGTAAACAGTCAATGAAGTTCACAAAAACTGGATAAAAAATAGTGTCTCAAGTTTCTAAAAGTAATGTCACATTACAGTCGAGGCACAATAAATAATATCGTAACTAAACATTTACAACTTATAATCACGATGTAAACTGATAAAGTAAAATCACACCAAAACTCGACTTGTTAGTTATTGGTCAACAGAGATTGAGGTTAGTTAGTCAGGCAACGTATTTTTCCAACTACAGTAGGTATATGTTATTTTAATGTAATAAAATATGTAGGGCCTATAATAAAATGTAATTGATTAATTGAAATCCTTTTCCTTCCTGTAAAAGTTACAAAATACAAAGTATAGGTAATGTATTTTTATACAACCTCAATGTATAAATACAATTAATAATCCATACATTAAGCAATTCGAGCAATACGAACACAGATATTACACAGTAACTTAATGCATTGAATCAATAACTACAGTATTCTTAGCCATCGCTTTACATTCCACTCCCATCCATCTACTAAAGTTAATTTGTTACTTATTAAAATTGATGTTATACGTAATCCTATTTTAAAATCAATTACTTTTATAAAATACATTAATACCTAATAAAAAATTTCCAACATAGAGCTTAATAAACGCTAAGTGTGCTGTTATACCAGCGCTCACACAGGCAATGATATATACGGTGCCGGGAGCCCGAGGTATCGCCGTGACGTCACAGCGGCGGAGTGGTGGGGAGCCACCTGGCATCACTTTCTGAGCTCGCGTGGCCTATACTAGCCCTTGTATATCTCTAGCCCTGGAATAGGCCTACGTAATCTATTAAATAACAAACAGTTGTTTGTATGAGGTTGTTTTTTTTTTTTCAAACTGACACCAATAATTTTACATTAAAAGTTGTTTACGAATAAAGCAATTAATGGGAAATAACTTTGATTGCCAATAACCTTTTACGAGAAACTCCAAAACCAAGAAATCAATAACTTTGGGACTTGATTAACGCATTTAATTTGTCGGACGTAATTCTTAACTGTAAACGTTGGTTTTTGGTACTGGTTCTTTTTCCTTAGAACCGTTGGTAGCAGCAAGAATCATTTTTACATACCAACACATCACTGTAATTTACAAATTAGTTATCGTTGGTGTTCACCTTATTTATAAAGTCGTATTATAGCCGTACTCAATGTAATTAATGTCTTAACTGTATAAGTTTTGCTTTTTCTGTCTGGATTCCAAAATGTTAATTTATGCTAAGAAAATGATAACTCATTTAAGTAAAACATTTGCTTAGCAAACCATAGTGAATTGTTTACGATTTACGTTGTTTATGTATTAATAGTTCGTGGCCTATTTTGGTAATTTGTATTATAAATTACCAATCTAAATCGTCTATAGTACTTCATTTCATATAGTAAGCAGTCATTTTGGCAGCATTTCGCGTCATCTTCGGTCCAAGCAAATATAAATTGTTATGATAAAATTTGAGGACATTGACAAATATTTCAAATATTAATTTTATATGTACTTTGTTATGCTTAAAACGTAACATATTCCCTAATTAAGTTC